TATCATCAAATTGCCCTTTAAATATAGTAATAACATAAATCTTGACAATCTAGTAACTGTTAATACTCACGCAAGGCTCGTGTAGTGCAACTCCCATGAGAGATCTTCACTCATTTTCAACATTATACCCAATCGAGTGAATGAATAATGAGACTCATCTTTATTCACTCTCACTTACGTATGAATGAGCAATCTCCCTTTTTCACTGTGCATTATAAGTAATAGTAATTTAAGTAGTTGTTGTAGTAGCAGATTTCGCCGACCCCAAGACAGCTTTCCTTTGTTTTATATCTTATAACACGGCCGACATACCTAGCTGGACCTCGACAACTTCATGACTGAAGCATTTTAGTCTTCCACTAATGCCTTCCATCCTGCTCCTGTACGATGTTCTCACCAGCTGCCAGCCATGGCATGTCTGTATGCTGCTTTCACCAGCTGCCTGCCATGGCATGTTTGCCTGCTGCTTTCACCAGCTGCCTGCCATGGCATGTTTGCCTGCTGCTTTCACCAGCTGCCTGCCATGGCATGTTTGCCTGCTGCTTTCACCAGCTGCCTGCCATGGCATGTTTGCCTGCTGCTTTCACCAGCTGCCTGCCATGGCATGTTTGCCTGCTGCTTTCACCAGCTGCCAGCCATGGCATGTCTGTATGCTGCTTTCACCAGCTGCCAGCCATGGCATGTTTGCCTGCTGCTTTCACCAGCTGCCAGCCATGGCATGTTTGCCTGCTGCTTTCACCAGCTGCCTGCCATGGCATGTCTGTATGCTGCTTTCACCAGCTGCCTGCCATAGCATGTTTGCCTGCTGCTTTCACCAGCTGCCAGCCAAGGCATGTTTGCCTGCTGCTTTCACCAGCTGCCAGCCAAGGCATGTTTGCCTGCTGCTTTCACCAGCTGCCTGCCATGGCATATCTGTATGCTGCTTTCACCAGCTGCCAGCCATGGCATATTTGCCTGCTGTTTACACCAGCTGCCAACTGTTCTTTGTAACTTAGTAGGATACCATCTTCGGAGTCTTATCCCTGATCTTCCTCATATTGTTCGACTTAAGCATGTCATATCGTTTTTGTTTATCATACCAGCGTTATTGAGCTATTTAACGTTATTCATATTGAGTTATTTAACGCTATTTACCGTCGTCAGCTCGCGCACTGGACATATGGCGACCTTGGAAGACACGCTTCACATCTAATGTGAACAAATATTTAACAACAATCAACTTGAGAATGGTCCAGGACGGACCGAAACGTCGTCGTCCCGTCACTTTCTAGTGTGTGGTTTGGTCAAAATATTTAACAAGTATTCTTTCATGTTCGCCGGTTAATTCTTACATTTAAATGCGTAAAAAATCAACAGAGATTTTAAAATCTCCGACTGTTCTACCTCTTGCTATTTTACCCCCAAGCATAAACCCTCCTTTTTTATACCTATATATCATAAACATTCAAGCAACGATCTTACATATTTCTCAGGTCACACTGAACTTTATATTACACTTTCAGAAACTTGATATTCGTTGTGTTCTCGACAACTTTATCTTAACAATTCAGCTAAGCTAATTCTTCGAGTAGGGTAACATTTCACCATCTATTTACAGCAGGCTAGTAATACAGCATCATCATACTGTAGGCTAGCACTACAGTATCTGCATTCAGTATGCTAATACTACATCATCTATATACAAAAGCCCAGTACTGCAGCATCTATATACAATAGTTGTATAGTGGGTATTGTATGTATGCAGACGAATTCCTACATCCACCAACACTCACACAGACACACTAAACTATTCATCATTCTTCTACCAGGCTGTAATATTTAATTCCTCAGATCGAGGTCTGTTTCCACCCCTGCTTACATTCTTATCTTTCTGTATAGTGCCTTATGTCCCTGTAACACCCCAGCTTTTCCTGTCAACACCCCAGCTCTCCCTGTCAACACCCTAGCTCTCCCCGTCAACACGCCAGCTCTCCCTGTCAACACCCCAGCTCTCCCCGTCAACACCCCATCTCTCCCCTCTCCCCGACACCCCAGCTCTGCCCGTTCCCCCTCCCGGTGATACAAACAGAGTCAGCGGGCGCACAACGGGAAGGTGTCACTTAGCCGTATTATTGGCCGAGACGCTCCCTCACCCTCCGAGACGACCCGTGTTGCTGGGAGCTTACCCCACAACAAGGTCGCAGTGGTGTGACCTTACCGTGTAATATTTCCTCAGTAGGCTCGGCTTATATAGTAGCAAGACATGCCTCACAAACCCTTTTGAATTCTATGACAGGAAGCCCGAGATCAGACAGGAAAGAGTGAGGTGGACAGACTATTATTCAACCGCTAGAAAGCCTTTAACATTTTCCCCTCACGAGAGACTACTGTATATAGCAGAAAAACAAGCTGGCATAAGCAACAGAATACTAAAATAAATCGGAGAATAAACAACAAACAAAATAGACAAAATAACAGTTTAATAGGTAAAATGGACATACAGTATTTATCATGCGTCAAAAAAGGATCAGTTCTATAAACCCTCTTGCTAAAAGTTTATGTAAATGATCTACGCAAAAACATTTAATCCCTCTTGTCGATGTTTAAGGATGTTGAATGGAAACTTCAAGACGAATCTAGAATATCTATAGGGCCTGTCTTTCAAATATCAATTAGATTTCAGCCCCCTAATGTGCAAGGTAAAAGATGAATATACAGTTGAGAGGCACCTTCAACTACAGACTTGGGAGTTGACATAGAGCCAATCCCATAACCAGAGACACACATAAATTAAATAACTGCAGTAGCAAATGCAAGCTTTCAGGAACTTTGATAAAATATTTTTCAAAATATACTGTATAGTACATCACTCACATGATACAAGTACCAGATTATAGTACTAGCTTTGATTATCTTTACCAGATAATCAAAAGAAAATTTACAAAATTCAAGAAATGTGCAACAGACTACAAGGACAGACTCAGTGAAATGCGCCTTATGGTGCTTGCGTGTAAAATGCTGGAAAAAGTAATCAAGTTGAGAACAGTAGAACATTTATAGAGAATACACTGTACTTTGTAGTGGAATGTAAGCATGAATGTAGTGGAAAAGTCATACCTAGCCAACTTGATTGAGGTCTATGGTAAGGTTAACAAAATACGACGGAAAAAAACAGATTGGGTAAACTGAACATGTTAAAAAGCATTTGATACTGTTTATTAAAAGCTGGTGTACAAGAAAGTATTTGGGAGTAGGCATAATCTTAACACTAACACCAGAGGCACGCATTTACAGCATAATATCTGTAGCATTTCGGAAGTCGACAAACATCAGAACACCTTAATCAAATTAAATCATTACTCCTTAAAGACATTCTTTACAGCCCCATGTAGGATCGATACTAGAATACGCAGTACCGGCCTGAAATCCGCACCTCGTAAAACTCAAAACCAATATTTAAAATTTACAGATGTCTGTAATAGGGTTAGTGCCAGAGTTGAGAGGGTTAAAATACGAGGATAGGTCAAGGAATTAAATTTCACAAGAAAGTGGAGTGGATACGATCACAACACAGAAGATACTGTGGGAAAATACAGAAGGTGGACTTTCACAGCCACTTTAAACTGAAAAAAGTAATAGGTGGAAACTATAAATGAAAATCTATCGAATTAAGGAATGTTCAGTAAGAAATGTACTGATAGTCAGCAAGTGGAATGCACTGAAAAAAGGAAGTTGTGGAAGTCACCTCCATTCACAACTTTAAGGTCAGATTCAACATCGAATTGAACGTTAGAAAAGGTTAAATTAAATCGGCACCAATACAAGAATGTTAGCAGGCGGGGCATAAAGAGCTAGATCTCACTTCCCTGCAGCCCGTGTCAGGTAAGCACTACCATCAGTGCTCTAAAACGCACTGCCTCGCCCAGTCTGGCAAGTCTGCTGACAAGGCACATCTGGGGCAAGGTGACAGAGGAAACATGTCTTGTGCGTCAACATCTTTAAGTAGCTTATTTGTGATGGAGTTGAGGGCGGTCTGGGTGACACTTAGAGCTAAGAGTCGACCTCAACGACGCAGACGCGAAGCGGGAATTGTTAGAGGCTTTTCTTGTAATTGTTTAATATATAATACCAATCTCATTATCTCTATGGTTATGGTCATCACCGCCATTGTTAGGCATGCTCTTCATCTCCAGCGTTAGGTATACTCATCAGCATCATTAGGCATCCTCATCACCTCCATGCTCTTCAGCATGCATGCTCATCATTCATCTTCATCTTCAGCATTCATGCATGCTTAAGCATGCTCTTCATCTCCGGTGTTGGGCGTTTTCATTGCCAACAACCAGTGCCAACCATCATCTTCATTATCATTCTTAACACATGTCCCTTACTTAATCATCTATATTTACTTCATGATTCTTTATTATATACTTTTATTTTCAATATAAATATTGTGCCATCACCAGTAACATCAATTTCATCATTATCAAAGCAAATTAGAACCCGAAACGTAAGCTGTTTCGGTGTTTCTTTTCTGCATCTTTATTATCTTATTTATCTGTTCATATAACAGAAGATAATGGAGCTGCAGAAGGCTTATTTATCTGGTGGTTTCCCGTGTACTCCTCCTGATTGGTCTGAGTTTTATTTTCCTTTTTTTTTATTTTCGTGGTTTCTATATCGACTTTCTAAAGTATTTTGCATTGAAACCATGTTTTGACGCGAGTCATATTTTGTAGGAAAGTCAACTTTTCCCCATATGTATTACGGAATCACATTTTTGTGTTCCATTCATCTCACAACAAACATTGGAAAATTTACTGTGTTAAAGAACAGGTGACGTTTAGACAGATATTGTAATCTTAGAACTAATAATAACAAATTACATTCGTGGTTAAGTTTACCGAGCAAGCGCAGAGAGCTGTGGAACAAGCAATTCATTTGGCCATGTATTTGTTGCATGAGTTACCTTAGCTGCAGAGCAGGTGGTTGGGGGGGGGGATATAAATAATTAGGTTTACCTTTGACCAGTGGTTCAGTGACTGGGAGTCCGAAGATGGGTCCCTGGGGAAGGAAGGGGCAGGTGGTGCCCGTGGCCGCCACTCTGAATGTCATAGCGATGGCGTCTTCCGCTGCCTGCTGCCTCTTCAGCGCCACCTGTACGAGAACAACAATACCATTATTTATCCACTATATAGAGAATTGTAACGTAGAATCGGGCAGAGTTTGGATACCATAAGCATACATAAGCAAGACCGAGAAGTCAAATATAGAAAAGGAATACAGACGCTTAAACATTTGTGAGAAGAGTGACAAGAAAATGAAACAGCCGCAAATTTCCAACTATGGAAACTGAATCTACATAAAAAAAATCGGAAGAAAACAGAAACTAAAGCGCTTATATAAAACGGAAAAATTAGCAATTCAAGTAAATCAAAAACATTGTATATGCAAATCCAAAAATCATAGGCGTTAACAAATTTAGCTAAACCCTGAAAACACCCAGTAAGAATTCATGTTTAACTATTCGACAGGGACTGTAAAGCAGACGATGCTGTATGATTTTCATGAGCTCTTCATTACTACTAATCATAAGTCTGATACCAACAGAAATCTTTGAGATTTAGGCAAAGCTAGTACCGGGTTGCCCGTGCACTCGGCTGAGGTCTGACTCCTGGAACTATACTTATAGAGCAATGCAGGCTACAACACATCTGGATACTGAATGTAATATGGAGGAGCTTACACAGGCGAGATCCCTGAAGCTCTAAAAACTGCGGAGGTAACAACGATAAGTAACTACAGAGGAAAAAGATATTTTAAGAAAATGAGCACATCTGCAGCTATTTAACACTACAGCACAATCGATCAGAAATAAGCTTAATTCAGTGAGCCAGACCTACTTGCGAAATCAATATAAGAAAAATACTAATTGTGGCAATCTTCCATCGTTCTGACCTCACCTCTCACTTTATCCTTTTATAAGCACCTAGGTACCCCGTGATTCTATTAGATTTAAAATTGTATTTGATAAAAATAAAATACCTTTCATTCATATTATTTTAAAGGAATTATATCCTCAAGAAGGTTCCATCAGAAGCTGGGATTTGTGGGCATTTATCAGCCGTACAACAGTGGCAACAACCTCCCCTTTGGAATAGTCACTGGTGGTTATCTTGAGGTTATCTTGAGATGATTTCGGGACTTTTAGTGTTCCCGCGGCCCGGTCCTTGACCAGGCCTCCACCCCCAGGTACCTATTTACTGCTAGGTAACAGGGGCATCAGGGTGAAAGAAACTCTGCCACCAAAGGACCACGCGTCCAGTGTTCTGTTCTCCCTCAAAATTTGTGAATTTGAGGGAGCCGGTGGCTCAAAATTTGGGTCACTGGTTACCCAAAATTTATATTTATATTTAGATTTAGTACCCGAATTGCCAGATGATTTATACAGATCATCACAGTTGTGGCTGGAGTGAACAAATGTACAGCCAACAACTTATTGTGTACAATTAAGAGTGATGCGACTACTAGCGGCGACCTGGGGCCAAATTCACGAAGCAGTTACGCAAGTATTTACGAACGTGTACATCTTTCCTCAATCTTTGACGCATTTGGTTACATTTATCAAACTGTTTACAAGCATGAAAACGTTCCAATCAACTATTGTTATTGTTATAAACAGCCTCCTGGTGCTTCGGAGCTCATTAACTATTTAATAATTGTAAACAAAGCCGCTAAAGATTGAGAAAAGATGTACAGGTTCGTAAGTGCTGGCGTAACTACTTCGTGAATTTAGCCCCTGGTCTCTTTATTATTGTAGTCTCCTACACTGACAGCTGGGTGGACAGCGCTTCGGATTCGTAGTCCTGAGATTCCGGGTTCGATCCCCCGGTGGATGCGGAGACAAATGGGCAAAATGTTTCTTTCACACTGATGCCCCTTGTTACCAAGCAGTAAATAGGTACCTGGGAGTTAGACAGCTGCTACGGGCTGCTTCCTGGGGGGGGGGGGTGTAACAAAAAGGAGGCCTGGTCGAGGACCGGGCCGCGGGAACGCTAAGCCCCGAAATCATCTCAAGATAGGGCCTACACAAAATTATAATGCAGCCCAGTCGTACTGCCGCTTGTTATAAAGACGAAGAGCAAACAAATAATTTGTCGGTGACACATTTGAATTCGGAAGGTAAGATAACTATCAGGAGAAAATGCTAAGCCATTACGACTATATAGCACTAAGAAGAGATGAGGATTACGATTTGGGATGGGACGGGGGGAAGGGAATGGTGTTCAATGCCTTTTATTATTATTATTATTATTATTATTTTCTACCACAGACGTGGCCACACATTTACAATGCTAACTAGCGTATATACACTTTCTTCTGTCCTCCATGGACAGGGTGAAAGATTTGTCGAACATACAGTTCAGAGATTTATTGAACAACCACAGAAGGTGATCGTAGTGCTTTTACAATGTTAGGCTAAGCTACATACGTAAATACATAGATACATAGATTTATTAATGCATTAATGTGAATTTATTCAATGCCTTGGACGGTCGGGGTTTTTAAATGCACGTTAATCATATTACATATAAAAGAAATTACCTTGAACACTGTTTACGTAAGACAGACGTAAATGTATGTATTTATGTATGTAGGTTACATTACCTTTTTAAAAAGCACTACAATCATCTTCTGTTGTTGACTGTTCAAATAAATCACTGAACTATATGTATAACAGATCTCGTACCCTGTCCATGGAGGATACAAGAAAATGTATATATGCTAATTAGCATTGTAAATGTATGGCCACGTCTGCGGTGAAAACAAATACAAAAGACTTCAGAGTTTATTGCGGTGTCGGGAAGAGCTCATCGATCCCGGGCGCCGCGCCAGCCATCTTGTGGGTTGCTGCTGCCTCTACCCATCCCTTCTAACCAATTTTTTTTTATATTACTTCTAAGCTGCCTCACTTATGAACCCATCCCTGCCCTTGTGTTGCAGTGCACAATAGAAAGTTGTTTTTACATATCCATACATTAAAACATTGATTGTAACCATAATATATATGTGCTTCAGTTTACACCTTAAATCTATTGTCTTATGTATGACCCTCTGTCCTACGTGACAGTGAATACCAGCATTATCCTCACTTTAATAAGGCATAATTGAAATCCTCAGATTAGGCAAAATTGTAATTAATTTTGTCAATAAAGATGTTAATAATAATAATTCTAACCAATACTTTACATAGCGCTTATTTCCATTATGCATCAGCACCGGTTCCTTTATGACGCACCAAATTACCTTATGCTTCATACGTTTTTCTACTAATAGATTATTTTTTATGGACTACATACCTCAGCAAAGGCAGGAAGACAAACTATAACTCTTGATTTGAATGGATATTTATAAATTAGTGGTTACAATATTAACAAGGTCCTGTCAGTACACAATATATGCTATATATATATATATATATATATATATATATATATATATATATATATATATATATATATATATATATATATATATATATATATATATGACATTTACTGTAGGTAGCATATATTCTGTTTCTTACAGCTTCCTATCATGCATACATTCCTACATATATAAGAATTTGCATCCCTCACAGATAGTATTTATTCTCTTGTTGCAAGTAGCCTGCTTCATGCAGAGGCACTGAGCAAACCTGTATGTGCTTGCTTGCTTACCCACCTCTTTCTTCAGTTTATTCACCTTGATCACAGTTCGTACTCTGTTCAGATGTCAACAGGTCATACTGTAGCAGCCTGTAAGTCTTACATAAGTATTTGATATATACATACAGTACAACTAGTAAGCAACTGGCTAAGCTCAACAGAAACAGAATTACCTGCACTAAAACTACCTAGTAATACACTGAAAAAATAGAAGAGATAATTTTATGTGACTCAAAGCCAGCCCAACACATACTTGAAAACTCAATTTACAAATTAGATAGAATCTCATATTACAACTATACTTAATATAATAGATGCACAGTGCAAGGGAAACCTTTACATGTCGTGCTGTCCTCACCATACATTTTTACTACTGGAGTTAAATGTTAGCAGCCAAAAATTATATAATTAATTTCAATTTGTCAAAAGTTCCTTGCATGATTCATTGGTGTGCATCCTCCTCAAAATTGTTTAACAGCAATGGGTCTATCTTCTATAAATCAGTTAGAAATATCAGGAAAGGCTAGGCCCTCATACTGACAACTGTGGGAACCTCACCGAGAATTTTTCCTTAAGCACTTCCTTATCGACTGTAATACCTTGACTATCTCTCTGCTTGTCTCTCCAACATGTACACTGTGTCATGTAAAGTACCGCATCAATGATTTTCAAACAGTCCGACTATGTTCAGTGTGCCCCATCCTGCACTGTCCTGTCTGAATTATGCCGCTCTGTCATACAATTTTATCAGATTTCTGAGGAAAGATTTGCAGTTCCCGAACCCATGCTCGTTTTTTTGTGTTGATTTTGCGAGTGCTCTGGATAAGTTATTATGTTTATGTGTACTTAAGGTTCACGTGAGACTTGATCTGATATCGACTACTAATTCTGACTCTTTATTATCCTAATCAGTTTGGCATAATCAGCAAAAAATGACATGAATGAATCTACTTTCTCAGATCGTTTATATAAGACCCCACTTACATAACCTATCGAAGTTGATGATCATTAGGCCCATGAAACGTCAGTATTGCAATATAGAGTGTGGTGTCTTCAGTAAGAGAACAGGTTGGACTCAGTCTTCTCCTTATATGATTGCAGCCTTTCTTAACTAGTTTTTGGCCTTCGCTGCTTTCCATTTATGAACTTTTGTGTACTCACCTATTTGTGCCTGCAGGATCGAGCTATTAACTCTTGGACCCCGCCTTTCTAACCGTCGGTTGTCAAATATACTGACTCGCGACTCATTTTCCCTTATCATATCTACTACATATATTTATCTTAACACACATCCCCTGGATGGAGCCCGTAGTACCGGTCTAAATCCCAGCTACCTGTTTACTTATTTTTTTTTTATGTTATTATTATTTTCTACCACAGACGTAGCCACATGACCTGTTTACTGCTAGGTCAACAGACGTAGCAGCTGAAAGAAACTCCCTATTTGTT